AAGATGGAAACTTTCCATGGGAATTAACGGGAATTTATGGGAATAAACTGGGAATTTTCCAAATTGAAGGTTGGCTCTTCATAGGGAACTTAAAGAGCCTGTGACACGAGTTTCCCCCATCATCCAAACCCATCAATTTGAGTAAATATTGTCCCCTTTAAAACCGTTACTGAACTGATTAAGGATATTTGTACTTTGATAACCATTAATCTGCCCTTCAATGTTGACCATATTCTGGATCTTCTCGGGGATTCTTCAAATCTCGCCAAATTATGTGTGACGTCATTGCGGGCCAAGCGCTCCAGCTGCAAAGCATCGGTTTGTTTTCTCATCGGGAAATGCAGACCGGCTCAAACAAACGATTTTTAAATCATCATCCTCTCGATCATTTAATGTATCATATGTTCGCCGAATTGACATGAAAGCACTAATAAATGTAGTTTCATCCACTTGAATTTACAACTACAAAAATAATCGATTTGTTTTTATATCACATCCGACGGGAGGAAATTCAGCAGCTCTCACTACCGATTTTTAATCCTAATTTAATCATCATCTTCAACACGATCATTTATTCACCGAATTGACATGAAAGCACTGACAAATACGAATATACTGTAGTCAACTTCATTAAAACGTTATTAACGTGCCTAAACTCAGTAATTCACCATTTATACGCATGACCACACACTTTGTCCGTGTTTGGCTCTCTCGCCGCACAGTGAAGCGTTCCCGCATTGACGTCACTGCCGGCTTCCCCCAAAACTTCAAAAGGAGTCGAAGGAATTTCCCCGCGATGTTCGAAATTATTGATATTTATCGGAACGGTATCGCAGCCTCTTTTTTAAACTGACGGTTCGAGATGACTAGTAGCCCAATATTTCCTTGCACAACAGTTGTTGGAATGCTGTCACAGGCTCTTTAAGCATTTAGAGACCAATGTGAGTACATCTGAGGAACATCTCAGTAAAGGGCAAGTTAGATCATTTCATGCATGCTTTATCACACAACAGCTGATGGATTAGCATAGTCTCATTATGTTTGATATGATTGTATTCAAAGAGTATTTCTTGAAGTTAGCAGCAGCTAGCATAGCATAGCAAGTGAATCTGTTCAGAATTGATCACACCACAAAATACACCCTTCCCTTAGTGTTGCTATTCAAGTCACACAACCACAGACCCTCTACAAGAAAAGCAGGCTAACCTTTATGTACTTGGTGAACATCTGAAGCAAGAGAGACAGGGGAAAAAAGAGAAAAGAATTAAAGAGATATACACGTGCATTTCAAACAGGACCAAAACGTTTATGATGGTTTCATTTCATTCACTTTAGATGCAAAATGTCCAAATCTAGAATGTAAAGCCAAATGTTAAATGTGCGGCAGATTATATTTAGAATATGGCTTTAGAGCAGGGGTGTCAAACTCAAGGCCCGGGGGCCAAATCCGGCCCGCGACTTCATTTTATGTGGCCCCACAAGAGCTTGCAAAGAATATAATATGTTTATTATACGGTTACATGCCGATTTACAGAAGCATGTTTCCCATAAACTACATGTCCCACAATGCATCTCAAATATTCCCTCTCTCTCAGAATTTGACTTTTTTTCTTCAAAATATGACTTTTTTCTTAGACTTTTGACCTTTTCTCAAAATGTTACTTTTTTTCCAGAATTTGGCTTTTCTTTTTAAATCATTTTGTGACATTCTCACTGAAGAGACTTCCAATTATTTGCCCTATCTTCTGCTTTCACATGTAGTTAATTATGAAGTTATTACCCTATCCGATAATAATCCAATGCAGAGGTATTAATGTAATATAATATATTATTTTATATATATATTAAATATTTATATATGTATTTTTATATAGTCTTAAAGTTACAACGGGCCCTTTAAGTGCAACCATAATGCGAATGTGGCCCCTGATGAAATTTAGTTGGACACCCCTGCTTTAGAGGTAAAGACATACTATAGTGTAATCTACAGACCATTCTAAGGTTAAGAGTCAAAATGTTCATTCAATTAGATTCAGAGAGAAAGTGTACAGAAACAGTTAAATGCTTTCATGCATCAAGAGATAACAGAGATTCATCTGCTCTACTTTAGCTCATAGAATGGAGACTGGTGTACTGTATGGTAGTGTGACTGAAAAGCTCACCTTCACATATTTAGCATACAGATGCTCGTCTAAAGGGAAGCTCTGGACTATGCGTTCATCCCGGGCGTGGAAGGTTCCCAGCTTCAGCCACTTGTTTGTTGGATATCTACAGGAGAAGATTCACCACATAGTCAGTGGATATCAGGTTAAGAGTTCAGGATTACACTTTGGGATGGACATTATAAGAATACAGGTTTTGATCAATTAAAATATTAATTATTCATGATGTTTTTTCCATAATGAAACACACTCTGGGGCACATTTTCAAAAGGCTTGGTAATACACTGGTAAATGTTGGGGAAATATTTTCCAAGGTCCATAACTTTGACCCAGTGTATCAGTTCAAACTGTCCTGACTGAGCACACGCACCTTTAACCTTGGCTGCTGTGCTCTCAGTGTTTTGTCTCCCTGTTCCTGCCTGTTGGCGTCAGCTGATAGAGGTGTTATGATTCTATCTTGTTATGCACAATGTTGATTATTCTGTCTGAACTAAATACATGGGTCTGAGGTAGAGTTCTTCAGAATTGACGTGGCAACTCTACCGTGAAGTCAGAACCTCTGACTCTTTGACTTGTTTTGTGAATTCTCCGGCCGAAGCTCCAAATAAACCATCAGTGTTTGACATCAGAGCTCCAGCTCTCCCCGTGTCTCCTTTTGAGTCGGTGACTCCCACTGCATTGCTACACAGAAGTTTCCCCCACAGTAAATATGGTATGTATGATAGTTGCAGTGCATACCTGTCACTGATGGAGACGAGGAAGTCTTTGGGAGTGGAGGAGAACAGCTCAAAGTTAGCGATGTCCAGCTGCTTCACCTGGATGGGCTCACAGAGCTCGATGATGAACCTGGGCATTGGCAATAAAGAAAAAGAAAGGCTTCAACAATAAGGAGGAGGTTGCATCTTTGGATAGAAAGCAGGAGATGCATGAACACTACGTACCAGATTTTATTACTGCAGGGGTTTAACATGTACATGTCCATGTTCTCCTTCAATATGGCCGAAGTGCTCTGTATGGAAGACATTTAGAAAAAAATCAATATGAGCTTGTTTTGTCAACAGATTGCTCAGTAGCATCATGCATATTGTTGTAACTGTACTGTCAATTCCACACGTTTGATATGTTTGGATTTGTATTGCTTTTTAAGTTTTGTTTCTTCACTTTGGCGGTGATTTGTTTTGCCTCATTTGGGTGAAGGTGCAGGAAAGAGTCCTAAAAACACAGGAATGTGTAAGCATTTCTCCACCTCCGTTACAACAGGGTATATGCAGGAATCGTGAAGTCAAATGTAAAACCTTTTTTAAGACCCTTTCCATACATTTTAAGACCTCATCGCCACTTTGAGTTTTAACCGGTTACATTGGCGACACACTTTACCTCACATTTACTATACAGTATTGATTGTCCTTCCTCCTTATCTTCCAACCATTTGGACGCAAACTTGCATTTCCCCATAACGATGTTGTTTAGCAACCGGCGTAAACGGACCTTCGCGCGCTATCAAGCAGTGAGCGTGCGATGTCCTGTTCAGATGACGTCAAATCCAACGGGATGCCATGAATAAACTACACAGAATCACACTACACACCTACGCAATGATTACATTCAGGCACACTTTAGAATACAACCTCTTTGGACAATTTATATACTTATTTAAAACAAGCTACAAAATGTAATACCTTGGAAAATGCAGTTTAATACTTTTTAATAGCCTTAATTTTCGCTAAATTGATTTATCAACTTTTAATACTTTTCAA